TTTACCGACAAACTAGTCTAAAAGGGTCGAATTTGCCGACTAAGGGTCCAGTTTGCTGACTAAAAATTATTGATGTGGGGGGTGACACCCCCCACACCCCCTATCGCGCCGGCCTTGTGTATATATATATACATATATATATATATATATATATATATATATATATATATATATATATATATATATATATATATATATATATATATATATATATATATATAAATATATTAAAGTGTCCCAAAAAAGAGTTTAATTTTTTTTTAACGCATACCCTCTCAATTTTTTAGAATGATGTTAAAACAATTGTAAACAAAATTTGGGTTAGGTAAGATCACGATAACCCGTGCCGACTTGCATCGGAACTTGTCAAGACTTGCTAACTATGACAGACGCGCGCAAACAATCGATGTGCTTGTTATAACTTGCTTTTCTTTTACTGTAGAATTCAGTACCCACATTGATTTTGCTCTGTCAACATGTCTGTACAATTACGCAGTTTTAAAAATGATATATTTTTAATAGGTGACACGATACATCAAATAACGGGATCAAAGCTTCTTTCTAATGGACAAGTTTTAGCGGTGCTATTTTATAACATTTGTGAAATGAAATTAAATGTAAATAATAGTGCAAATCTCACTGTTAAGGAGTGTATTATTTATTGGGAAAAGGCGTGTATACCTACGAAATTGTTTCCTAATTGTGTAAAGAAACTTGTAAATTTATATCAAGTTTGGAGGGATTTGCAAAAAAATGCACACAAAACCCAAGACGTATTTAAACAAAGTCAACAAGAGTTGGTCAGAAACTTAGACAATTTGTTTGATATCGCCCACGTCGATGCCCTTCATTTAATTAAAATAGAAGAAGATAAGTTATTTTTGCAACGGCAAAGAGAGCCAGGTTGACCGGGTCACTTGAGTGGTGTAGAAAAAAAACTGGCCGATAAGGAGGAAAGGGCGCGCTTAATAATTGTTGAGGAAGAGAAACGAAGATCTAACTATTTCGCAGAGTCAATTCCTTCGTCATCATTTCAGGATACAATACAAAAAGATTCATCATCTGCTTCGGACAAATACTTACATTTGGAAGAAGATTTGTCAACTCAGATCGAGAGCGCGCAACTCGAAACAAGTATAATATCTATGCGGAAAAACCTCATCGCTCCAAAATTATTAGCAGCGCTAGACAGGTGTCAATTAAGTAGAGATTCTGTGTATATTCTTGAAGAGAGATTCTGTGTATATTCTTGAAGCTACTATTGAGGCACTTGGATACAATACTGATGAATTTCCAATAAGTAAGTCCTCAATTCAAAGAATTTGCATCAAAAAACGCAAAGAGCACGCTGAAGCTTTAAAAATAGATTTTCAAAATGAGATGCCACAGGTTGTGACCGTTCACTTTGATGGAAAACTGTTGCCTGCTTTAGATGTCCGAAAATCAAAAAAAGAACGTCCACCAATAGTTCTTTCATATGGAAATAAAGAACAATTGATTGTTGTGCCAAGATTAGAAAACTCATCAGGAAGAGAACAGGGAGAGGCGGTTTGGAAAGCACTTGTAGACTGGAATCTTGAGGATAAAGTTCAAATTATTTGTTGTGATACTACGGCATCTAACACAGGTTGTATTTATGGCACTTGTGTATTGCTTGAACAGAAACTAGACAGAGGTTTGTTCAATTTTGCTTGCCATCATCACATATTTGAGTTAATATTAAAAGCCGTATTTGAAGCAAAAATTAGCCAAGTAACAACAAGCCCTGGTATTCCGCTGTTTGAAAAGTTCCATGATAACTGGAAAAGTGTCGACTCTAGTAAAATACAGAGCTTCAAAGAAAAAATCGATTCGTATTTGACTATTTCAGAAATAGAAAACTTGATGAAATTTTACGAATCTGAGTTAACGAAATCTATAGTCCGAGATGACTATCGAGAAATAATTCAGCTATCAATCATATTTTTAGGCGGAGATAAAAATAGAACATTTAAAATTAGACCTCCAGGTGCCATGCACCAAGCCAGGTGGATGATGAAAACAATTTATGCCCTGAAGATGACACTTTTTAATGATCAATTAAAAATATCAAATAGGGATAAGGAGACACTATTGGATGTTTGCTTATTCATTACAACATTTTAAGTAAAGTCGTGGCTACAATGCATTTTAGCAATAAAAGAACCATATCAGGATTTATGCTTTTTAAAATCAATGAAAGCCTACGAAACAATCGACAAAAACAACTCGAAAGCAGCTGTGCAGAAATTAAGCTAGCATCTATGGTATTTAAGTAATGAAGTAGCTGCTTTATCATTATTTGACGACGATGTCGACCAAGGAGATAAAATAATAACGGTTGAAAACTTTAACAATGACATTATATCGAGCTATGGTAAACGCTATATACCATCCAAAGAAGAACTCTGTGGTTCCTTGTTTGGTAAGTTTTATTAATAAATATAGCAACTTTTATTTTTATTTACTTATTATTTTTTAAAGTAAATTGTATTTCTTTTTTTATTTTTTATTTCAGATAAAAACATCTACGACTTTGATTCAGTGGAAAGTAAGACTTTGTTCACCCGGCTGCAAATTGATCAAAGTTTTTTTAAACGACGAACCTTCTTTATGGTCAAATAACTCTTCGTTTCAGGATGCCAAAAATAAGGTTTTAATGCTGAGGGTCAGCAACAATAATGCTGAAAGAGCAGTCAAAATGATGCAAGAAATCCATGGCCTAATAATAGTCGAGGAGAAACAAAAACAATTTTTATTACGCTGCGTGCAAAAACACCGAAAGATTTATCCTGATTGCAAAAAAAAACTTTAAAAAGAAAATTTACAGAATAATGTTTTTTATCTATAAAATATTAATATTATTATATATTAATAATATAAGTTTCGAGTATATTAGTGTATTATTCAACCAACTTCTCGAAATTCTCTTTGCAAACCCTATACAAAAATTAATATTCTGTGTTTGGGATCAAGTCGGCACGGTTTACCTTTGTCTAATCGCTTTTATATTTTATATTCGAATATTTAGGGTCATTTAGGGTCATGTATATATATATATATATATATATATATATATATTATATATATATATATATATATATATATATATATATATATATATATATGTATATATATATATATATATATATATATATATATATATAAATATATATATATATATATATATATATATATATATATATATATATATATATATATATATATATATATATATATATATATATATGTATATATATATATATATATGTATATATATATATATATATATATATGTATATATATATATATATATATATATATATATATATATATATATATATATATATATATATATATATATACATATATATATATATATATATATATATATATATATATATATATATATATATATATACATATATATATATATATATATATATATATATATATATATATATATATATATATATATATATATATTTATATATATATATATATATATATATATATATATATATATATACATATATATATATATATATATATATATATATATATATATATATATATATATATATATATATATATATATATATATATATATATATATATACATGACCCTAAATGACCCTAAATATTCGAATATAAAATATAAAAGCGATTAGACAAAGGTAAACCGTGCCGACTTGATCCCAAACACAGAATATTAATTTTTGTATAGGGTTTGCAAAGAGAATTTCGAGAAGTTGGTTGAATATATGTATATATATATATATATATATATATATATATATATATTATATATATATATATATATATATATATATATATATATATATATATATATATATATATATATATATATATATATATATATATATAAATATATATATATATATATATATATATATATATATATATATATATATATATATATATATATGTATATATATATATATATATATATATATATGTATATATATATACATATATATATATATATATATATATATATATATATATATATATATATATATAAATCTATGTTCAAGGCTTTCAAGGCGGTTTTTGATAAACAAGAAAAGCAAATAATTGATCTAAGCGAAAGAATTAAAGCAATAGAAACAAAGAAGCCAGATAATGTTGTAATTCCGCTTTTCAGCAACATAGTTAAATCAAGGAAACTCAATGCACAAGAAACTAACTGTTTAATGGCAGTTTCAAAATTTCAATCAGAAAAAGATCATAAAGCAAATAACATAGTTTTATACGGATTAAAAGAATCAATTAAATCAGAAGAAGAACACAAAAAAAATGATGATTACGATCTCGTTTGCAATCTTTTAAGTGAACTGCAGCTACCGCCAAATAATAATGTATCCATATCAAGAACTTATCGAATAAGACCGAAACAACATTACCATCATGCACAAAAAAAGGAAAACTTAACAAACATGGACGAAGAAGATGAAACTATTGAAACATCTGTCAGTACCCTAAAACCTGCACCTTTAATTGTCGAAATTGTAAACGGAAATTTAATAAGAAAAGAAATTTTAAAACTCGTAAAGAACTTAGCTAAAAGCAAAGACTTTAACAATGTATTTATTCAACCTGATTTAACCAGTGCAGAGCGCAGTTTAAGGAAAGAGCTACTCACGAAAAGAAACAATCTAAACAAAGAAATACCGCGAGAGAACAACAGATTTACTGGTACTCACTACTTTGGTATCAGAGGTACTGAGGTTAAGAAAATTAAAATTGTCCAATAGCAATTCATCACCACCCGGTTTCTGTACACGCCAATAAATCCTACAATTAAAACTAATACAATAAAAAACAACTCAAGAATACATTCATCATGTTGGTCTTCTAAGGAGGTACCTGGTAATATTACGTTAACCCAAATCATACCATCCTCAATACCAAATCAACAAAAATTATTCTCCAATGAACTAAATTCTGACGAAAAAATTATGCCAGACAGAAAATTGTTAAAAACTAAAGCATTAAAACCTAAACGACCAAAACCTAATCGAACTTTGCGATCACAATACAGCCAACAACATAATAAAGCTTTGCTTAGAGATCCAACAACTATCGATTTTTCTGATATACTTTATTACTGGGCCAATAATCCATGCTCACTTAATAAAGATAAACATAATGAACTTGTTGCCAGGCTAGCTAATATCAGAGATCCATCACTGTTACCGCACGTCATATGGTTTACTGAAACCTGGTTCACAAACGATTCTGATACATCAATCGCCGGTTATCAATTACATCGTAAGGACAGAATCGGCAGAGGAGGCGGTGTTGCCATCTACATCAAAGATTATGTCGTTGCTGAAGAAACAAATGTTGTCCAACTTAACTCGCCTGAAATTGAACAAATATGGCGAATGATCAAAATCGGGGAAGATGTCATTCTCATCGGTTGTATTTATCGCCCTCACGACTTCAATGATGACTACTTTGTTTCTGTTTTAGCTACCATATTAGCAGCAAAAAATGTTCTTCAAAAACTAGGGTGTTCATCAATGCTTCTGTATGGAGATTTCAATCTTAAAGAAACGTCTTACAAATCCATTGAAGAAGGAAGTGCTGTAGCAACCATTGCTTATGTAGCCCACAAGCACCCAACCGATCTAAAATTCCAAGAATGTCTCAATGAGTGTCATCTTACCCAACTGGTTACATTTCCAACATATCGACAGTATAGGGATGCCCCTTTTAGTAGCACGCTTGACCTAATAATCTCTGAAAAACCAGACCGCTCCATAGAAATCACTAGAGCAGATCATCTAGGCGATACACCAGGAGGTCAAGCACATTGCATGATACACGGACTCTTTGCTTTAACCGGGCACAATACAACAACTACTCCGATGAAAAAACGATTCATCTGGAGCAAAGCCGACTACAATTCCATATCAACATGCATATCATCTATAGATTGGATAACAACTTTTAATGGAAGCTCTGTGCATGAAAATTACAAGATTCTAGTTAAAAACTACAACGACGCTGTCAATAAATTTATTCCAACAACAACCTCACCATTCTATAAAAATCAACCGTTGTGGATTACGCCAGAAGTACTTAAAACTATCAAAAAAAAAGAAAAGCTCTGGGGTAAGTATATTGCTGCTGGTCGCGAAACACACGAAGCACTTCGAGTAAAACATAAACTTGCTTGCAAAATAGTTAAAAAGACTATAAATAAGGCGGTAACCGATCATGAGGAGAAGCTTGTCAAAGATTCAAAATCTCACCCAAAAAATGTGCATGCGTATGTCAGAAGTAAACAAGAAGTCAAAGATCCTCTTCATTCAATCGAAACTGACAATGGCATTATTACAACAGATAAAAACATAATTTGCTCCACCCTCAATAACTATTTTCTGTCTGTCTTTGAAACTGAACCTGATGGCAGTATGCCAACATTTCCCGATCGTACTCAAGCAACATGTAAAATTAATTAAAATTGGTTCACAATTGAAGACATTCAAAGTCATCTAAATAATCTTGAAGAGACTAAATCAATTGGTGTAGATGGAATCCACCCACGTGTATTACGTAACTGTGCAGCAGCATTTGCAATACCATTCAACTCTATTTTTAGACAATCTTTATTGTCTGGCTCTGTACCTGAATATTGGAAAAAATCAAACATTACTCCCATCTTTAAGAAAGGGAGCAAGCTTAAGGCCTACAATTATCGACCGGTCTCCCTCACCTCAATACCGTGCAAAGTAATGGAAAAAATAATTCACAAACATATTATGGCGCACTGTGTGGAAAACAATCTAATCTCCAAGCATCAGCATGGTTTTATTCGTAAAAAGGGATGTCTGACTAACCTCCTCGAAGCTCGCGACATATTTACCGAGGCTATGCATCAAGGTTACAGTGCTGATATTATCTACACAGATTTTGCTAAGGCATTCGATAAAGTCCCGCACAAACGTCTTCTACATAAACTGAAAGCATACGGCATTCACAAAAAGCTGCTACTTTGGATTAAAATGTGGCTAAAAGATCGTAAGCAACGTGTTGTCTTGGGAGAACACGTTTCTGAGTGGAAGAACGTCACAAATGGAGTTCCGCAGGGTTCTGTCTTAGGGCCACTGCTTTTTATTTTGTTTATTAACGACCTTCCTGATAGTATCGTTCACAAGATAATGCTATACGCTGATGACAGCAAAATTATTGGGATCATAAAGTCGGCATCGGATAACACAACGCTTCAGGCAGATATTGATAACGCGGTTACATGGTCAAACACTTGGCTCATGCACTTTAACATTGATAAATGTAAAGTGATGCATGCAGGTCGTCCTAATAAACGTTTATCACATGACTACTCTATGGAAACCGCTGATGGCATGCGCCACACTATTGCAACTACAACTATTAAATGTGACCTTGGAGTTCTCATATCAAACGATCTGAAAGTCAGAGCACAAGTTGAAAAAGCAGCATCCGCAGCCAATCGCATGTTAGGAAAGCTAAAAAATGCTTTCCGCAGTAGAAACTTAAACTTGTGGCGCACACTCTATATATCTTATGTCCGGCCACATCTAGAATTCGCCATTCAAGCCTGGTCCCCGTATCTCGAAACAGACATTAAGTTACTTGAGGATGTTCAAGACCGCGTCACTAAGACAATATCATCCATCAGCCATTTTGATAAAATAAAGCGTCTGCAGGTACTCAAACTAACCACCCTCAAAGAACGTCGTTTGCGTGGTGATATAATCGAACAGTTCAAGATTTTCAACAACTATGACGAAGTTCAATTTATGGTCCCACAGCACCAACTAATTGGGCGTGAGGTGTACAACCTACGCGGCCATGACAAGCAGCTTGATCGTCAATTCGTAAAAGGATGTGAGGAAAGATCAAACTTTTTCACAAACCGAGTTGCGGTCCATTGGAACTCTCTCACACAGTACGCGGTAAACGCTCCATCTTTAAATGCATTTAAAGATCGGATTTCGATGCGATAAACTGTTAAATCAGCATAGAGACTCCTGGAAAAGTCTCTTCATCAAATAAATAATTTAACATTTAAATATATACATATGTATATGTATATATTTTTTAATTATTGTTACAGCATTATTGCAGTTTAAATGTATAAATTTGATTACTGAATATATCAAACTCAAACTCATATATATATATATATATATATATATATATATATATATATATATATATATATATATATATATATATATATATATATATATATATATATATATATATATATATATACATATATATATATATATATATATATATATATATATATATATATATATATATATATATATATATATATATATATATATATATATATATATAAATTTCAAAAAAACTTATATAGCAACACCCATAAAACAGACTTTTAAAAGAGGTAAGATATAAGGTAAAATATTTAATATAATGTGTTCACATATATACATGCACGTATAAAAAATTATAAGATGTACATATACACAATAAAAAGTTTCAGAGGTAAAGAGAATGAAGTAACATTTTAGGTAGCTTTTTAGGTAGAAATGATGGAGTGAGTAAAGAAAAAAATCTTGGACCTGAGGATGAAATTTGATGATTTTAGGGTGTTCCAAGAAAGGATACTTTTGTATGTGATAGAATTAATTTCATGTTTAGTCGTCTGTTTAATTGGATTGTTAAGTTGTTGTAAGTGACGGATCTTAGACTATGCCCACACGTTGTCCTAATATTAAATTAGTTATGAAACACGTAGGAAGGAGACCATGTTTTTGATCACAAACAAATGAACAACTGAAGAACTGAATTAAGTCATAGAAACAAAGAATTTTGGATGTAAGATACAAAATATCACATGAAAAATTTCTTGAGCAGAAATGAATTATTGGCATTGCTCAATTTTTAAGTGAAACGATTTTAGAAAGACAGACGATTTTAGATTGTCCCTAAACTTGAAATGCATATCGTAAATGCGAACCGCAAATTGAGTGATATATAGATAGTAACGTTTCAAAGTTAACGTAATTTCGATTGTCCCTAAACTTGAAATGCATATTATAAATGGAAACCGCAAATTGAGTGATATATAGATAGTAACGTTTCAAAGTTAACGTAATGTCGATTGTCCCTAAACTTGAAATGCATATCGTAAATGCAAACCGAAAATTGAGTGATATATAGATAGTAACGTTTCAAAGTTAACGTAATGTCGAATTTTAGCTAACATGCTGTTGGGACGGCTTAATTTAAGAGTAAGGTCAGTTATGTATGTTTTGAATGAAAATTCAGTGCCGTAGCAACCCAAAACGACGTCCGGTGCAAGACTAAAATTTGGCATCCCTTCCAAAAAATAAGGTCACACTTTCACATTTTCATTTTTATTAAACTTCAATAATAACAACGTTTCAATGTTTTTCAAATGTCAGTTTAAGTTTACTCTTCTGGGCTTTAGTGATGCATTTATAGCATCATCATAATTAGCTCAGTTTTTCAGTGTTGATTCAATTAAGGTGATAGACAAATTTGATAATCTGTCTTGGTCTAATGAAGACCTTAAGTAGCTTTTATTATCTTTAACTTATTAAAAATTTTTTCACAAGATGCAACTGTCACTGGTAGTGTCAAAAATATCCTTAGACAGAATTCAATGTTTGGGTAAGCAGTTTTAAAAGAATATTTATGAATAAATTGTTAAAGAGCAAGTGGATCGGCACTTTTTAGATTATCTGTTAAAGATAAATAAAGATAAAAAATATAAAAAATAATAAAAATATTGTTTAAAGTTAATTACATTTTATTTAACAATTTGATATATATTCGATAAGTACTTATTATAACTATATTATTTTCATAAAATATAATAAAAAAATACCTTTACCTTTTCTAAACGCAAACTTAAAGGGAAGTTTACTAAAATATATAAATAAAAAATATCTGAATCTAATTCACTAACATTAACATAACAAAAACGCTAAAACTATTTAGCTGGATGCATTGCAATGAATTCTGGATAAACGATAAAATTGCAAGTTAATTGATGCGATGTCATATACATTAATTCATACATTTATTCATTCATATTTTGTATTTACTTTCTACAATCTGTTTTTAAAATCATCTACCCATTTCTATTTGATGCAGATGCTAGAAATGTTCATAGTGGCGCCGAAGCAAAAGTTATATGTATGGGGCTATCCAATAATAACGTCAACAATTTTTTTGAAATTTTTTCCTCCCCCTCTCCCCCTTGTCAACAATTTGTCAAATTTCCAGAACCCCCTCTCCCTATAAAGTTACGTCAATTTTTGATTACCCCACCCCTCTATACAAAGAAGCTACGCTATAAACTCAGCCTAATTTTCCGTTATTTAAGCAATGAAACTCAAAAAAAAAAAAAATTGTTGACATCAACTTTAATTGACCTCCCTCCCTCCCCCTTTCCAACAATTGTCAAAAGCGTTCAGACCCCCCTTCCCCTATTTTGTTGACGTAATTAATGGACAACCCCTATACAATAGTTATTTATATTTAAGTAATGAAAAAAGATAATGATTTGTAAATAGTGATTACATTTTAATAATTTTATTATACATCAAAGTTCAAACTAATGCATACCATATATATAATTTATATTATATATGTATAGAATTCAATATTGTTTCCAAATTATGCAAAAATTTCCGCTCTGTGCGACCGCACCTCTCGCATAGCCATTGCTACAGCTCTGTGAAAGTTATCATATCTATCATAAAACAAAGATAAGTTATATTATTAGACGAAAATAGTTTTTGACCACTTATTATAATTTATTATTTTAAATTATTATAACTTCATGTAATGTGGACAAAAGCTACTTTTGTCTAATAATATAACTTATCTTTGTGTTTATAGTTTATAAAGTCCAAGTAATTTTGAATATTCTTGTTAGTTTTCTTAGAAAAATGTTGCGTCTCAAATATTATTATTTTTATTTTTTTAATATTCAAAATTTTAGTATTCGATTTTATTTTCTCGAAACCATTGAATAACACTGGCCATATCCTGATTAATATATTTATTTAGTTTTTTGAGAGAGTTTGTTCTTAATTGAAGATTAGTATTATCAGCAAATGATACGTATTTGAATGTTTGATAGAGAGATAAAGATCATTGGTATAGATAATAAATAGCAGTGGACCTAATATGAATTCCTGAGGGATACCAATGCAAACGCTTTTAACATCTGAATTGGTTCTATTAAAATTTACAAACTGTTGACTTCAATAATAAAATGTACATCCTTCTCCAAAAAATATCTTTTGAAAATAAATCTGTTTTTTTACTTGGTAATTGACATGGATCTAATATTTTTCGCGGTGGGCGATCAGAAATATAACTTATAATTCTGATTGCCTACCTCAACCTATTTATACCACGCAGTCATTTGATTTATACCGCTGGAACTTTAAAAATTATAATAAAG